GAATTCTAGAGACGGGGGCAAATGTGGAAACGGTCAGGAATATTCATGCTAACGAAGAGGACCAACACGTCGAAGGTAAAAGTCATGTTGTCACAGATTCAGGTTGTTTAGGTGTGCTCCATAAAAGATCATCTCTGGGGGACAGGGGTGGCTGACACAGTCCCTCTAGTCTCTGTTTCAGTGGTTGAAGTTCATTTGACCCAAACCAAAAAGGATTCCATACTTGAAAAACAGGCATTTGACTTTCTGGCACAAATTTTCTAAAGCATAGTCTGTGTCCAGATTTGTAACCTAGAGCTTCATTGTTGAATAAAATGGAATATTAAAGGAATGTTAAATTTCTGAATTTTTCCAAGTTCACTCTTCATCAGGCCCCATGTATGGCATGAGGATACAAATTAAAGATGGTCAGTGGAGGAACTGACTTTTTAATGAAAGAACACACAAATAATGCCTCTTAGAGTGTCACTTTCATCTTTGCACTCTTATCCTTAGAAAATTACTGTCAGCCTGCTCCTGTCCTCCTATAGTCTTTTTATCTTTATTAGAAGACTAGAGAAATGTACTACGTCTTAGCAAATGGTGTTTTTTTTAATGTACTTTACCAGTATAAAGCAAATGGTATCTATACTGTTCTTTATTGGAGTTATAATAAAAAAAAAATCTTCTAGGGCAGGATTTACATTTTGGTAAATTTTGGCTTCACCCTACAGTATAATTAAGTGAAACATTCATCTGTTTTTTAATTCTCTCATTAGTTAATGCAGCAGTTTTTGAGTGTCTAGTCATCTGCTAGCTGCAGGAGTAATGGGTTAGTCCCTGTTCTCAAGGGGCTCACAGTCTAGCAGGGAGAAGGCAGAATTTAAACAAAATACTACAGCCTACCGAGGTAAGTGCTTTAGTGAAGGTATATAAAAGTGCTCTGGGAATAACAAGGGAGAAGCAAGTAAAGGTATATATTTGTTAGGTCAGCGTTGGCAAACTCAAGTCTTTAGGGCCTAGGATAATGACAGTGGGTGAAGTGAGGGGCACATGTAATGCTGTGGGAAGCCCCGGGAACCTTGGTTAACAGGAGCACCATCCTATCAAAAGAGGCAGCTGCTTCTGGGCTCCACTCAAAGCACGGGGACCAGTGTTGCCCAAAGTGACTTCTTAGGGAAAAATTCGTATGTGCAATGGCCAGGCTTTTAAATGTTTAAACTCTTTAAAAGTTCAATGATTGTTTTCTTTAAACACCAGAATGACAAAACAAGACGTTTTCTGGGCACCCATAGAACACATTTTGAATTAAATATAAATGGAATTTTCTATTTGTAATATGTTCTACTGTCTTTCTTGCGTAATTCTGCATCCTGATTTTATATAAGAAAATGCGAAGACTCGGAAATGGTAAGTGACATGGGCCACTCCGAGGATCTGAGAGACCCAGGGCAATTGCCTTTCTTGACACCACCAGAGAAACTTACTGTCTAGACCTAAAGAGCAAGAGCTGTCCCCTTGGAAACCAGCTGCGGGGCACTTTGTTGCTAATGCTAAACAAGTATCTCTTAATATCACCTTTGGTTACTTTTCCAGGTGAAACAGGAGAAAAGCTTGAAACAGAGATGGAGAATGAAAAAGTAAGTGAAGGGGCTGAAACAAAAGAAGAAGAAACAGGAGAAGCTGTGGGTCTTTCAGAAGCCCCGTATATAGGTATGGTGATGGAAGGGTGAACGGACACAGCGTATTATAACAGAGAAGACAGAAAGCGGCAGTGAAGTTTGTGGTTACAGATCTTATCTTTCAACATCTACATGTTTTATACAAGGAGTGTGGTTATCATGTTCCTGATTACATTGTTCCATAAAACTGCTAAGCTGTGAACAGTTTTTCTAGCTACTTACAATTCAAAACTACAAAAAAAAGAAAACTACAATAGCCAGAGCCAATACCACCTAGGGTATATGTTCGTTTAAGAGTGTGAGGGCGTTTTCTTCACTGTGGCAATGGGTCCATTCAGTGTAGAAAATGAGACCCTAAAAGAAAGTATAAACCTTTAAGTATAGGTGGCCGGAGAAAGGAGTTAGCAGATTTTAGGGAGTTCATGATAATAAAGTCATACAGTTGGAATTAGGATGGAGTAAGAATGATCAACAATAACCGGGCAAACTACACCTCGTATTTCTTTCCTATCACAGAATTTAGAGCTGGTGGGAACCTGGGAAAGTATGTCATCTAATTACCTTTGCACCTTAAGTCTATCTACTACCATACATCCTTATTGATCATGGTGTATTAAATATGGTAACAAAATTCTTCTTAAAGGAATGCAGACTCTGGTGCTGTTACAAGATTAGGCATTTTCACAATGAAAGGTTATACATGTTTTATGTGCCATTTTGAATCGTCTAGTGATTTTATACTTATGTGAGGTGTTTCAATTGGTGTTATCCTTTTGACTGACATTAAAGGTATTTTAAATTGACTGACTTTTAAATATATTTCAGAGGCAACAAACAGCAAGAATTAAAACCTAGATTTGTTGCCTATGTGGAGTCTATTCCTTGGGCCCTATTTTTTTTTAAGATTACTCTGATTTAACATTAGGCTTTAGATGTGGAAAAGAGCTGAAAAATCAGGATTTAAAAACCATTTATAATATTCAATTTGTGTTAAAATGATACACCACAGAAAGTCACTTTTCAAGTATTCCTCCAAAGTTGCCAAGGGATTTTGGTAAATGATGATATGTGAATAATAATAAGGATAGCAATCTTGCCCACCAATGAGTGCCTTGTGTTTATGAATATCAGTATAGAATTATATTCTGGAAACATTTTATATCTTTATCTTATTTGTAAATATGTAGTTTAAAGATAACTGCTCAGATGAATTAACTAGACTATTTTACTTTAGCTTCTATATTAAACTGTTAAGATGATGTAATTAATTTTAAGAATATAGGATAGAGGGAAGAATTATCATCCTTACTCTGATTTTAATGTCAGTTTATGTTCTGACTTTAAAGAGTTGAGGTAGCCAACAAGAGGAGTTATTGAGTAGATGACTTCATTCTTCCTGCAAAGTAAAGAAGCTGGGTTGTGATTTTATTGAGAACAAGGATTGTTTTATGTGTCTTTGAATTCATGCATTTAGCTCTTTTAATGGGACATGATAGGTGCTTGATAAGTATTCGTCGAATCAATAAATGAATAATAAATACCAAGTGTTCCCATTTACACTTAATTCATTAAAAAAGAATATAGGGCTTCCCTGGTGGCGCAGTGGTTGAGAGTCCGCCTGCCGATGCAGGGGACACGGGGTTGTGCCCCGGTCCGGGAAGATCCCACATGCCGCGGAGCGGCGGGGCCCGTGAGCCATGGCTGCTGAGCCTGCGCGTCCGGAGCCTGTGCTCCGCAATGGGAGAGGCCACAACAGTGAGAGGCCCGCGTACCACAAAAAAAGAAAAAGAAAAAAAAAAGAATATAGAATTCTTTATATATTGAATTTGAAATATGAATTTGTGTGACACTGATGTTTTCATTCCAAAGCTGCTCAAGCTTAGTAAGACTATATATTTAGTGTAGTTCCAAAAATAGTAATAATTTGGGGTCAGAAAGTTACATAACTCAGAACTGCTATAACATCTTTCAAGCTACATTTTGTAATCCAAAGGTGTTTTTCCTGACCCAAAGGTATTTTTATACAGATATCTAGTAAATAGAAAATGTCAGAGCTTAGTGTAAAATATGATCACCTTAAAAAGTGATTGTACTTTGTATCAGGTACTGAAATAGTAGGATTCATTTACTTAATAGGCATAAAGGTCCATGCTCCATTGTGTGGATTTTTAAAAAAATCTCTAACATATGTTAAAGAGCCCTCTATTCAGAGCTCATTCTTGAAAGAAGTCTTTCTCAAAAGCATTATTATGTAGTTGTAATGTAAAAGTTTTCAAATTACTTATTAATACCATTATTTTCCATAATAACTAAAATCATTTATTCTCAGAAAAATTTGGAAATTTGTATACATTTCTGATACTTTCTATACTTTTGTCTTTGGCCTTTAATGTGGTTACTAAGACATTTTTAGAAATTATTCTTTTAGATAATATTAATAACTTTGTAATTCAAAACCTATAAAGAAAATTGAAATGTTCCATAATATTTGAATATTCCAAAATTAAAACGTTTCATCTAAATAATCTGCTAATTCATTTTTTTAAACAAAATTAGAGTAATAAGTGCCTGTAGTAAAACTCAAATCATAAAGAAAGGTATAAAATGGGAAGTAAAGTTGCTCGTCCCATATCCTTTAGTTCCTCTATGAAAAGATGATAAAGCTTCTTGTGTTTACTTCCATAAGAAGGTAATGTAGGGACTTCCCTGGTGGTCCAGTGGTTAAGACTCCACATTCCCAATGCCGGGGGCCTGGGTTCGATCCCTGGTCAGGGAAGTAGATCCCACACGCATGCTGCAACTAAGAGTCCACCTGCCACAACTAAGAGCCCGTATGCCTCAGCTAAAAGAGCCCTCATGCTGCAACTAAGACCCAGAACAGCCAAATAAATAAATAAATAATTTTTTTAAAAGGGTAATGTATAAGCCAGGCTATGTGGATATGCTAAAACAGAAGTGTATGCTTACACATCCACATTTTAAAACACAAATGACGGGCTTCCCTGGTGGCATAGTTGTTAAGAATCTGCCTGCCCATGCAGGGGACATGGGTTCAAGCCCTGGTCTAGGAAGATCCCACATGCTGCGGAGCAGCTAAGCCCATGCACCACAACTACTGAAGCCCGTGTGCCACAACTGCTGAAGCCCATGCACCTAGAGCCCATGCTCCGCAACAAGAGAAGCCACCACAATGAGAAGCCTGCACACTGCAACGACAAGTAACCCCTACTGGCCGTAACTAGAGAAAACTCCCGCTCAGCAACAAGACACAACAGCAGCCATAAATAAATTAATTAAGAAAAAAACACACGAATCACTGTTTTGTCCTTACATTGTGAAAAAGTGCATGTAAAACCACGAATCCATCCTTTCCACTGCTAGAATTTTTTTCTTTTGCCTAAAACTGGTATATAGACTTAGCATATCAAAATGCATTCTAAGTCCCCAGACTCTGAGAGGAGTTTATCAATTTTGCTTCCAGATTCAAAATGCACAAGTTGGATAAGGCTTGAGCTATTTATAATGAATTAATAGAAAAACTACCATCAGGGCTGGATTTTCTAATTCTAGTGGCCGTACAACCACTTTGTAACCCAGTTTTGTGATCTATTAAGATGATTGCAGAATTCTCTGTATCTAGCTGGGAAGGAAATGGTGAAAAAACGATTCACCAGCTGGTATCCCCATTAGGGCGTGAATGTTGGCGTTTACTGACAGAAGGTGCCAGTTTTAAATCTAGGAAATTCCCAATCCAGACTCCAAAACTCTTGGCCAGATGTGCTCTGTACCATCTCTTGATACCAAGCAGGGCCCTGTGGGGCTCCTGGGCACAAAGCCTTTCTGTGTCCCCCATTTCTTTGATTACAGGAAACAGCCTTCATTCAGCCTCCATGACCTTCCCTGAGTTCCAATGGGCAGATTCAAGCAGTTGTTAATTAGGGAAGGGAGGGGATGCAAGACGGGGAGAAACAGTCAAGAGCAGCCTTGGGGCAAGGTCTTGTTTCCCCATCAATGCATGGCACCCAACAATATCTTTGAGCTATTTTGCAGATACCAAAACCCCCTCCAGGTGGGAGAAGTTAACAATTAACGAAGGTATGCTGCCCACAAGCATGTAGACCCCAGACCTGAAGGTTGATGATGCCGACTCTTACCTCACCACCAACCCATCAGAACAATGGCCATGAGCTGATCACACTGTCTTTGAACAATTACTATAGAACTTCTCACTATCTTCTCCAAGTGAGGACACAGTATTTTGAGGCAGGACACTGCCGTGTCCCCCTTTGCCTGGCAAAGTAATAAAGCTATCCTTTTCTACCTCACCCAAAACTCTGCCTCCAAGATTTGATTCGGCACCAGTGTACAGAGAAGCTGAGCTTTCTGCATCACTCCTGGGGGACCCACAGGATAGGAGTGTGTGGCCAACATGTGACCTCATTGCTTTTTCCATTTAAACTTTGCAGTAAGAGTCCTAGCATAGCTAATAGACTTTGAGCAGTCAAAACACTCACGTCATTATTTAAAAAAAATTTTTTTGGCCATGGGGCACGGCATGTGGGATCTTAGTTCCCTGACTAGGGATTGAACCCTGGCCCTCAGCAGTGAAAGCACAGAGGCCTAACCACTGGACCACCGGAGAATTCCCCATCATCATTCTTAACAAATGCTTTATTCCACACTTGGCCTTGAGTTAAAAATGGCTTTTAAAGGAAAATGTTTCTTTTCCACATTGAAGTAATCAAAGAGTGTTGGGTGGTCATAGTCAAATAATCTGTGCTCTTTTGGTAAATACAATAGCTTCTTATATCATCTAACATTACAAGCATCTCATTTTTATAAAGCTAATCTGGTGACCCAATTCTGAATTGTTTCACAAAAGTCAGCAATGTGAACATCATAAAGCCATTCATGTAGCCCAGTGCATCTGTTGGGTGAAAGGAGAATGATCCTCTAATAGCAAGGCATGGCTGTGCCAGAAAAGTTGAAAGCATTTGCTCACAAGGTATCATTTAATCTAAAACTTTGTCAGCTCCTCTTGTCCCCAGAGC